AGATAGCCCTCGTGTAGCTTTGCGCGAAATTCCAAAACAAACAAACAAACCAAAAAAAATCCGACCTTTCAAATTTGAGACCAATTGGTCGTCCTGTTTGCCAAAAATTGCTATACTGATAACTTTGGCCTCAGTTTACGATCTCAAAACAGCCTCTGTGGCCGTGGCCATATAGCCCATGTTACTTCCCGCACAAAGTTGTATGTGTACCCCTAGTTTGGAGTTTGTAGCTTTAAAGATATGGCCGTGCATAAGGAACAGACACACAGAGAGAGACATTCGCGCATATATATATATATATAAATGTAGTCGATGTTATATATAAATTTCTATTTGGACACAATGATTTGCACAACAGATTACACTCCCTTTTCCTTTAGTTTCTTGTTAGAGCGCTCAACTCGTAATCTACAGGTTGCGGGATCGAAACCCGGCACTGATCATGCTCGTCCCTTTTATTCGTGGAGGCTTTATAATGTGAGAATCAATCTCACTATAGTTGGTAAAAGAGTGGCCCAAGCGGTAAGTGCTGCCGGCCGATTGCCTTCCATCTGGCCAACAGTTCAAAATTTGCGACGGCTCAGATAGCTTTAGCAGTTTTGCCATAAGCAAAATAAACAAACAGTTTTAGTTTCGTTAGAAATCTGGTTTTAAAATGCTTGGTATCCCCTTTTTTGTAAGTTCTAATAAGTTGTACCTTTTGAAAATACAAACCATTTATCTCGGAATACTTATATAAGTGTGTGTGTATGTAAAGACTCGTACGGGTAAATATGGATGTATACTGTCAACTGAATAATTAATCTTGTTACAACATATGGTATTTACTAATATGTACTAGGACAAACGATGCGCACAGCCAAAATGATTGTTTTAGATGGCTTCATGTACAGATGAAAATTGGTAAGAGTAACCCTAAATATTTCGTTATGTATTTAAGTACAACTAACGTAATAACGGTATGACAGGTATTACGTGAAAAGTTACTTTTCCTACCTGAGAATAATATTTTGGTTTGTTACGTACAGTTATTCACTGCGACTGTTCGTTCGTTTTTGAGTAACAGATAACTGTTAAAATTTTACCAGCCCAACTTTTTTTTTTTTTTGCTGTTTGAGTTATACATATAGTCTTTATAACTTTATAATTCAGGCTCTAAGCAGTCGTTCCATACATGAAAATAATAGTTCTCCTATTCTTATATTAATATATTTGTACTGTAGATACTCATGAGTTGTATGATTTGTATATTGCAGCAACCACCAGGGATCATTTTTTATAAAAGTTTATGCTAGTACTCACTATACCTGCACCCCCCCCCAGTGGCACAGCAGTATCTCTGCGGACTTACAACGCTAGAATCCGAGTTTCGATACCCTGGTGGGCAGAGCACAGATAGCCCATTGTGTAGCTTTGTGCTTAATTACAAACAAACAAACACTATACCTGCAGGTCGAAAACGTAATACCTACACATACGCCATTCCAATGATTTTTAAGTCTGTTTTAAAATAAACAGTATAGCAGTTATTTTAAAAATTGTGTTTTTCTACTTACTACTATATTTAAAATTTGGTACAAAGCGATTTATGCCGTTACAAAGTGCCGCCCCTAAAATCCTTTGCCAGTACTGTGTACCGGTGCGTACTAGATGAAATACATTTCTGTTAGCCACAGGCACATGCATAACTTCTGCTCTCCTAAATAATCAGACTTCAGGTGTTATCGACATGACCGAGTCAAGGTCGGGTAATATTGACACGGCTGCACGCTCACCGGCTGTTTAACTTCTTGTTTTCTGATTGGTGAATTAAAATCTCTATGATCTCTAAAGTTAGAAAGATCAGTTCAAACGGACAAGAACCCTTGAAGGTCATGAAAAGATGGTAAAATTATATAGACTGTGTGGTGAATAAGATATACTAATATTGCCCATTTTTCTTTTCATTTTTTTTACCCAACAACACCATTGTTCATCTAGCTGAAAGTGTCCTATAACTTGAAAAACGTTTTTATATATAACTACCTTTTGTCAAATACTACATTTTTTATATATCTCACTCATTGGTATTTTCAACTTGAACAGCACCATAAATGCAACATATAGGCCAAAGGCCATTCTTTCAGTCCATGTGCGGAATGAATTTTTCCGTGTGCACCAGTATCAAGGCAATGTGCGCTACCAGTTGTTGTTTTTTTTTTGGGGGGGAGGGTATTTTTAGACCATCGACCCTATTGGATCATTAGGCCGCTTTGCAATGCTACCAGTTGGTTATGTGGGCTTTAGGCCTATCAATTTCCAGGATTATTAAAGCCGTCAATGTGTTGAGACTCCTCACCATTACTGAGGATGTGCGCGGCCGCGCAGCTTAGAAGGAACATTGATGTTGACCCACCAGAGGAAGGGAAACCAGTCAGCACCATCCGTTACCTACGGCTACTCGGAATCGAATAGTGGGATTCACTGCCACTTTATCCTTTAGAACTTATGAATCTTCTAATCAGCTCCAGCCAACTTATCCATCACCTAGTATAGCCTTTTGAACTTCTAAATCTGTTATTCTGTTTGCCAATTATTTAATCTAGTATTTTTCTACTTACAAAGTTTAGATCTGTTTGTTTAATATTTTCCAACTTCTGGACTTTGTTCTTACAATTTTCTGATTTTATTAAACCGTCCTTGTTCCACAACTGGACTTAATTGTTTATCGTTAGTCACTGTGTAACCTTATTAGTTTATCTTTGTACAACACCTGGCCATTCTTTGATATATTATATAGGCAAAGTAGTCATGATGAGTACGCTTGTACGGACGGCAACTGCCTGTTGTATATATAAAGGTATAAAGGACGGTGTTTCGAAAGTCTTTCGTCTTCAGGTCTTTGTTTATATTTTCTTAATACCTGGTCTTGGTAGTTTATCCTTGCCAAGTATGTGGACTTGCTAATCAGTTTTTCTTCGATACCTGGACGTACTAATTTCTTCTTCTTCAACACCTCGACCTATTAATTACAATCTAAATTTCCTAATATTTCTCTGCCCAGTTATTTGCTTTTAATCTAATCTTGCTCGAAGTCCAGACTGACTGGTTTATCCTCGCCCAACATTTGGATATACTTCTTTATCTTTTCTTTCCTGGTGTTCCGAAATAGACAAAGTATTTAATTTGTGACCCAGATTTTCCCACCTTTCATCCTGACTCGATGTTTATCAGTCTGACGAATTTTTATAGAGACATGCTTACTGTAAATTGTTTGCTTATTTGCGAGGGCCTGAATTGGCCTGGTGGTTAGGTAGCGAACATGCTCGGCCTTTAAGCTGTGAGGGCGTTATCATGTAACGGCCAATCCCACTATTCGTTAGTAAAAGAGTAGCTCAAGAGTGGGTGGTGTTGACTAGCTGACTTCCCTCTGGTCTATCACTGCTGAATTAGGGATGGCTAACGCAGATAACCTTCGTGTAGCTTTGCGCGAAATTTAAAACAAACTAAACGTATTTGCGAATGAGTCCAAAAGAAGCTTACATCAGCAGTTACATCAAGGTCGAAAATGCTATTTTTTAATTGTTATGTAAACCGACAAGAAAAGTCCATACTCTCCGCCAACCGGTTGGATAGAAAACCTCTCTTTTGCCCTGGCATAGAAATGAAGTTGGTCAAAGGTTTCTAAATGACCCAAGCTACTTACTAATCGCGCTAGGGCAGAGCTCCATAACGGAACTCTATAGTGTTGAATACCGTTGTCCTTTTCCTGTACTATTGGGAATAAAAAATCCCAGACGTCGTAATATTTGTATTTAACACAGGATGTTTTTACGTAGTTAAATACGTAATTGTTCGGTAAATATTAACGCAGATTCCCCCAAAAAAATTAAAAAATTACATTTCCTATAGCCGTGCTTATCGACGTTGCACCATGAATTGATTCTGGAACCAGAACAACAACAACAACAACAAAAAGTTCAAGAAGGATTGAGATATTTATAGCATGTTAATAGCGGTATTTTTGTTGAGTTCGAAAACTGCTTTGAAATAGATTTTGCAATGCGATTACGTCTTTTATTTTCTTTGTTGCTCGGGAAGTAAGCTGTTATCGTGTATCTTTTTTGTTGCATTCTACTTATCATCTCTGTTGTAATATATTTCACTTTAAAACACTGTTTATTGGTTACAGTAAAAAAAAACAAAAAACAGTTGATCTATTTCAATTTACAATACATTTTTGACTTGTATTGTTTTAACTTAGTTTTGAAAACGTTATATAACAAGACTTAATGTTCGTAGACATTAGATTTAGAGTAGTCCCTGTAGCTTTATCTTTTACGACAGTCCCCTGGTGCGTCAGCGAAAATTTTGCGAAATTAGATCGCTAAAATCCGGTAGACAGAGCGCACATAACCTATTGTGCAGCTTTGTGCTGAAACACATCAATAACTTTTGCGCCTTTGGCCGTAACTGAAAGTCATGAATAGTTACTTTTGTTTTATAATCAGAACGTTGACACCAAGAACAGTATATACCCTTGATAACATTTTAGTGGTGCAGAAAGGGATTGTTATCAATTTATTATTATTATTTACCATTGTCTTTAACGTTTAAAGTTAAAGTTTAGAGCATTTATGAACGGGTGTAATAGCCAAGCCTTAAGGCAAAATACTCTCCCGTCTGCTACCTCGTGTTCTTGAGTTTCAGGTTTATCAGTATAGTTAGAATTTTATAAAAACGTTTTCTCCCTCGGCGTTATGTAAAAAACAACAACAAAAACACACACACACACACATACACAAATAGAGAAAACGCAAGTGTTTTGTTTTCTTTCTGTTTTTGGTCTTATATTGAAAATTACTTCTTAACCGGTTTACATAGAATAATAAACATTTCTCTGGTGGGTATTAATTAACTCGTGTCATTTTTTTACGTGATTTTCGAAGTTCTTTCTTTGAGTAGTGAAGTAGTTTTAACCAAGTCATACGTCCTATCAGCTTTGTCTTTTGAACTATTTTCAACCTTAACAACGCAATAACATATGCATTGTGAATTCGTGGTAAGAACGAATATATGTGATAATCAGTTTTTTGAAGTAATCTAAAAATAAGTTCTTCATTTCAAAGTTCTCTTTCCTTCTTTTTTTTTTGTCATTTGTCTTCTTTTGGTGTTTTGAACGTTCTTTTATTCGGGTTTGTTTGTTTTGGGTTTCG